TGTTTGTATGGCCTAGGTCCAAATCGCTTGCTGCAAAAAGATCTCTATGTCTATCTACTAAGCCTTGTATCTTCTCTTTATGCACTTGTGGGGTGTCAACATCCTGTGATGTGTCATCGAGAGGCGATTTGGATGAGTGCCCTAATGGTCTGCTGGTGTCACTAGGTTTGTCTCAGGCAAATTCTCTAGCCTTTCCTTAACGTTTTGTTGGTAGTGTTCACAATCATGATTGGTACGTTCCTATCTTTATTCATCCGCGCTAATGACTTAGTGATCATTAGTCCGGGTTCACTTGACAAGTAGCCAGTACCTATAGCTGACACTTGGTAGAGAGTTGTGTCAGAAAAATATGGCCCTTGCTTAACTTTTGCCCTGCATAGACTTCTACTTTGAGGCTTTACTATGGTGTCCCCAGCCAGGCGAATAATGGAGGCAATGTGCAGGTCTCCTTCCAAAGCTACCAAGGTCGTAGTAGAGCCTGACACCATTTTGTTTCAGCCAATACCTCCCCAAAATGATGTTCCTATTAATGTTGCTTACAACATAAAATTGATGACTTAACGCCACACCTCTCATCTTAAATGTTATGTTACAATACCATCTACTTCTAAGTCATTCCCATTCACAGATTGCAGTGAAACCTTTTTCTTACCTTATTCATAGAGCCCTTTTAGCTTATGAAAAACTCTTCTATGGATAATGGAAACTTCAGCTCCAGAATCAATTAAACATCTGTATTGTTGTTTTCCTGTCACGAACTCGGGCTACCAACTAAATTTATACTATATATTGTCCCCTCCTCCTCCTTCCAAGCGGTTTCATTATGAGAAGGAGTCTTCAGTTTAAACTTTTGTTATGTTGCCCCCTGTATGCTCCATAGTTCAACCCATAATTCCTGGCTCTGTTTCGACAATCCCTTTTGAAATGACCTGGTTGATTGCACACCCAACACAGCATGGCCATCGGTCTATCGGGAGTCCCTCCCCTATCATTTGTAACTGCGTTGACGCTGGGCCTATTACTTGACCTAGTCCTTTCGTCTAACCTACAGTCCTGTTCCCTGTTCGATTGCACTTAAAGCATTTAGCCATAGGACGATAATGATCGACCTCCATAGGCTGTTCCCTACGTTGGTGGTCCATTGATCTGCTTCCCTTTTCTAGTCTCAGGTTAAATCTAGCACGTAAGTTCTGTTCATGCGTAGCGCATGTCACGGCCGTGGCTAGGTTTGGTGGGTTTTCCCTCATCACTTTCATTTTTAAGTAATCATAGGCCAAACCATCTATATAAAATCCAACTAATTGGTGCTCTATCGCGGCAGCATTCCCTTCCCTGCCTAAACCTGTATATGCCCATTTGGCAAGCTTCAGCAACCGTTTTGCGAACAGCTGCACGCTTTCACCATATTTCTGTTTTACGGCCCTCAACAACATGAACGCACTTTTGGGTCCGTTATTTCAGCAAATCTCCTCGTTAATTCATGCTTTAATTCCTGCCATGATGCTTGATCATGATCTTGTAGATACCTATGAATAAAATCGCTAACTGCCCCTGAACGTGACTGATAGGCCATCAGTTTTATTCTTTCCTGATCTGCATTTGTTAGTACCGCGTATTTTTCAATGTTTTTCAGCCATTCCTGAAATTTCGTAGGTTCCCCCTCAAAGGTTTTAATAACCTGCGCTATTCCCTGCGCTCCTAAAGTTGTCGACAGATTAGCTAACAGCCCTGTTATTTGTCCTGCTATCCCTGTCAAAAATTCTCCCAATTCCTTGCCAGCCATAACGAAAAATGAAACAGAAGAAAACTGAGCTACTTACCTCAGAACTGCCTGATCTATAACCATCACCTGGTCATAAATTACAAGAACGCATGGAGGGTGTCTTCTTTCCTATTATCAGTGATCAAGAACAGTTTTCCTCTGATGATCACAATAAGCCCCCCTCTCTACACAGCCTCTAGTGTTACATTTTTTTAGATGACTAATTAAGACTTCTTACACTGACGAACAGCTCACGCGAACTGATGATACAACGCATGCGTGCATTTGACGGAATTCCGATAGTACGGAACAGGGAGGTGTATTTCGGGTGTGGTGCAATACTGTTTTGACTATTCTACAGTTTTTGTATGACATGAACAGGCTTATAAAACTGCATATGATCTATGGCAGTGATTCTGTTACTGTTTGTGGATGTCTATAGACTATGACCTCCCCATGCTGTTTGTGGGTGTCTGAGTTAGACTATGACCTCACCATGCTGTTTATGGATGTCTGCGTTAGACCATGACCTCATCATGCTGTTTATGGATGTCTGAGTTAGACTATGACCTCACCATGCTGTTTATGGATGTCTGCGTTAGACCATGACCTCACCATGCTCTTTGTAGATGTCTGCGTTCGACTATGACCTCACCATGCTGTTTGTGGATGTCTGAGTTAGACTATGACCTCACCATGCTGTTTGTGGATGTCTGAGCTAGACTATGACCTCACCATGCTGTTTGTAGATGTCTGAGTTAGACCATGAACTCACCATGCTGTTTGTGGATGCCTGAGTTAGACTATGACCTCACCATGCTGTTTGTGGATGTCTGAGCTAGACTATGACCTCACCATGCTGTTTGTAGATGTCTGCGTTCGACTATGACCTCACCATGCTGTTTGTGGATGTCTGAGTTAGACTATGACCTCACCATGCTGTTTGTGGATGTCTGAGCTAGACTATGACCTCACCATGCTGTTTGTAGATGTCTGCGTTAGACTATGACCTCACCATGCTGTTTGTGGATGTCTGAGTTAGACCATGACCTCACCATGCTGTTTGTGGATGTCTGAGTTAGACTATGACCTCACCATGCTGTTTGTGGGTGTCTGCGTTAGACTATGACCTCACCATGCTGTTTGTGGATGTCTGCGTTAGACCATGACCTCACCATGCTGATTGCGGATGTCTGAGCTAGACTATGACCTCACCATGCTGTTTGTGGGTGTCTGCGTTAGTCTATGACCTCGCCATGCTGTTTGTGGGTGTCTGAGTTAGACCATGACCTCACCATGCTGTTTGTGGGTGTCTGCGTTAGACTATGACCTCGCCATGCTGTTTGTGGGTGTCTGCGTTAGACTATGACCTCGCCATGCTGTTTGTGGATGTCTGCGTTAGATTGTGACCCCGCCATGTTGTTTGTTGTTTATTTTTTGTTTAATAAATGGCAATTGTTTGAAACGTTGATATATATCAGACAATCCACTGATTGACATCATGAGCATCGATCCACGCAATTGGGACACGATGACATGCATCAACCAAGTCAGCGAGTCTGTCCACCGGATCCCGTTAATCGTCTCTTACAACAAGCATAGTCGCCTTTTACGACAAGCATGGGTTGCTGAAGACCTATTCTACCCCGGATCTTCAAATAGGTCTATACAAGTGCATGTCTACATGTAAAAGGAAAATAGATGAAATAGAGGATAAGCAGTTATTCTAGCAGCAAATGTACCAATAACAACGACCCAAATACACATAAAAAGTAGAAAAGTATACAATATGTACTAGTTTATTGTGTTTTTCCTCGTGAAACAAACCACCAGATATTCCTCAACCAATATCTACCACCTGTTTACTTTGCCAAGACATGCTATGGTTCAAATGACAACAGCAAGTGCAATTTCCACCGATCACCGACATATATAAATGCAATAATGACAATCAGAGTATGTACATCCCACGTCGTTTACTCGCTGACTTGGTTGATACACGTCATCGATCCCAATTGCGCGGATCGAGGTTCATGATGTCAGTCCCTGGATTGTCTGGTCCAGATTCGATTATTTACAGACCGCCGTCATATAGCTGAAATATTGCTGAGTGCGGCGTAAAATAACCAACCAACTAACCCAAGTCGTTTACAAATATCGACAGTTACGAATTACATATCAATATTCAGACAATTTGACATTAAATTAACAACGTTTATATACCAGTATCCGCTGGTCGTGTGTTCGATCATGATCCTTGGACTATACCCTACTCAACGTCTGACTTAAGGGTATCCTCTATCATATGTATGACCCGCCGTGATATTAATTAAAATACTCTTCAAAAGAGCGTTTAACTCCATATCAATCACGCCACTGAAAGAAACAAAGTAGATTCCAAACCAAAGGCAAACATCAAATTACAAGACACAATACATTTGTAATATTATGATAATGCCTTCAGGTGTACACAAACGGGTGAGCATGTCCTGCCCTGCTGGAGTCTCCCGTTGTGACTGTAGGACAACATGGTATACCTACATAAACACTGCTGGAGTCTCCCGTTGTGACTGAAGGCCAACAAGGTACATGTACAGCAACACTGCTGGAGTCTCCCGTTGTGACTAAAGGACAACAAGGTATACCTACATAAACACTGCTGGAGTCTCCCGTTGTGACAGAAGGTCAACACCATTAAACCAACAGCAACACTTCTGGGGTCTCCCGTTGTGACTAAAGGACAACAAGGTATACCTACATAAACACTGCTGGAGTCTCCCGTTGTGACTAAAGGACAAGAAGGCACACGTATAGCAACACTGCTGGAATCACCCGTTGTGACTGGAGCAAACAAGGTAAATAAACCTACAGCAACACTGCTGTAGTCTCCCGTTGTGACTGGAGCCAACACGGTACATGTACAGCAACACTGCTGTAGTCTCCCGTTGTGACTGGAGCCAACACGGTACATGTACAGCAACACTGCTGTAGTCTCCCGTTGTGACTGGAGCCAACACGGTACATGTACAGCAACACTGCTGTAGTCTCCCGTTGTGACTGGAGCCAACACGGTACATGTACAGCAACACTGCTGTAGTCTCCCGTTGTTACTGGAGCCAACACGGTACATGTACAGCAACACTGATGTAGTCTCCCGTTGTGACTGGAGCCAACAAGGTACACATACAGAAACACTGCTGGAGTCTCCCGTTGTGACTGAAGGCCAACACCGTTAAACAAACAGCAACACTTCTGGGGTCTCCCGTTGTGACTGAAGGCAAACACCGTTAAACCAACAGCAAAACTGCTGGAGCCTCCCGGTGTGACTGAGGGCTAACAAGGTAAACCAACAGCAAAAATGCTTGAATCATCCGCTCTGACTTAAGGTACACCAACAGCAACATTATGAACCCCTTTACTATCTGTATTCAAGCTAGAAACGTGTTCGCATTATACGTATAAACACAAGCTACCCAATTCCAACCATTTTCCGGAAGAAACATGAAATTGTTACTTACTAAACTGACACGACAGCCAATCCAAACAATATCTATCTTCATCTTTGATTCCTTATGTTACCTAATGCAGAACAAGGTACTAGTTCGATGCCTAAGCACTGCCAGCTTGATGGCATCACTTCCGCATTTAGGAAAACACATGACCAACGCAGTACAATTTGAAACAGAAAGGTCCTTGCCGGTACCCACCTTAATGTCAGTGTCAAAAGCACTTCCAGTTTGAAACATCATTCGATTTGCGGTTTGGAAGAACATAAGCCACATGCAGTACAACTTGAAACTGAAAGTGCCATGATTTTAGTTACCCGAATGAGAAAGTTATAAGCACTTCCAGATTGACGACCTGGACATTCAATGTCAATGTGGAGCTGCCAGAAGATTAAAAATGAAAGCATTTGTGGCGCATAGTACAGTTACTGAAGCATTCTGCCCTAGAAACTAATGTGTCTTCAGTTTCAATGAATTTCAATTATAAATACTCAAAGTGTAGACAAACATTTTTGTCAGTTCATTCATACTGAGTGTCCTTCAACTTCATTATCATCCAAAACATTATTTGATGCAAATTAGGTTGTATTGCTAATACGAAGTACAGATACCATTTTGACAATACCCTCTAAAAGAAACTATTTACAAGACATTTCATGAGTGAAAAAACCTTAAACATGGATATGACATTTGACAAGTATCTAGTTGGTTATAATCTTTCATAACTGATTTGAAAATGCTTAGGGTTTTCTTAATCATGCCACAATTTCCTAAAATTTGAGCCATGTTCCATAATACACCCTCCAGTGATCTTGACGTTTACGTGGAGGTCAGGAAAAGGTATCTATCGTATAATTCCAATTTTAAATACTCAAATGAACAAGCTGTTTTGACGAGTAGTATATCCCGAGTGACCTTGATGAAGCATGGCACTGTGTCCATGTACCAATGACACACTTGTCCACAGCGGCACAGCTCATATTCGCCATTACTGTGCTCAACGTCTACGACCAGAATAACTTGGACTTTTTTTTCTATATTAAGCCTACATGCTGTGATATAACTGAAATACCGAAAGTGGAGTTAAAACGTCATCATTGAATCTCTTGGAAACCCATAACCATTTGAACAAAAGAATGAATATACTGTGTCCGACTCATGGCTTTGTTTGGAGACAACCGTGTTGACACTCGTTTGAGAAATCCATTACATCGCAGAAGCTGACGTCACATGTAACGTAGACAAAGTCGTTCGTGTGTGGAATCTCGAACATGTCGAAATAGAAGCGGGTGACCTTGTCGGCAGATCCCAGGATGTGCACAAAATGATTCGACTCGCATCTAAAACAGGTAATGGTGAGATTCGTTAAGTCACAATGCCAGAAGGTGAAATGGGGTTTAACGTCGCATTCAAGATTGTTTACTTGTACTAATGCGGACTAATGCAAGCTTTAAAGTGCTAGCCAAGTGAGATTCAACACGGATGTCCCACTCATCCACAGTGTTATGTGGCAGTGGATATAGTAAGTCTATGCCTGATAATTGTTTGTGGCAGCAGATTAAAAAATCGAAAATTGTTGGTGTTTCTACATTTATTGAGGGAATCCGACATCCAGAGTATTGAGAATAATCAGCCTTTGTGTATCGACACTAGGATAGACTACGTTCTGCAAGATGTTTCGCGAGGAAACAGTTTCTAGAAGGCTAGCTGTATCCATATAAGAGCAAGAGGAGGGCGATTCAAGATCTTCTACGATCTGACTTGCGTCTTATCTACCTACTCAGTGGGATTCCTATCTGAAAACACCTACGCCATACACTGATTCAATACATCCGGCTGTGACAACTTGTTGCCATTATGTAATAGAACCTGTTAACTATTGCTGTCGCCACATATATCACCCATTATGTTGCCTTTTATGCATAAACTGTAAACTTCATCCTGACTGGCCTTCAGCTCACCAGCTTGTGTTTCAATATAAATTGTTGATTGACCATTTAGCTTGTGTTGTTATTTACAAATTAACAGTGGTGATTTTGACAAGTTGGCGCATATCATTTTGTTGTTAGATTTAGGAAAATATGAAATGATCGCAGGACAAAATGAAACCAACTATGACCCAAAAAAAAGTACAGATAGAAATTTCAATCGTGGCGATGAGGTTTTTGTGGTGTTACCCATACACGCTCGACCTCTTAGGGCAATCTTACAATCTGCTGTCACAAACAATCATCAGAAATAAACTTACTATATCTTTTACACATAGTGAGTTGGTTTGAACGCCGCTTTTTACAGTATTCCAGTTATATCTCAGCGTATAAGCTAAATGTGGGAGGAAAGCCCGAAATGATGCAGGTCTCAGGCGTTTACCACTTTGGTGAAAACCACGAGCACGAGTATGGTGCTGACAAACCTAGAAACATAATCGGGGCGAATCGGGATTCGAACCCACAATCATAGGTTTCTGGCGTGCCCAAGGGACGCAACTCTGCACAGCGAATCGCGGCGCCTTAGACAACTGGGCCACCCGTGCCTCCCTTTTACACATAACACTGTGGACATTATGTTAAACTGTGGCATGGTATCTCAGTGGGTTAGCACTATAAAGTCCAGAATAGAACAAGCAGCCACACACACACTATGTAAGTGCAACTCCATTTCACCCACCTCACCTCAAGGTCGGTGTACAAATATGTTATTTAGTCAGCAGGTCCCTATGATCAATATACATTGTTTAAGGTCATCTACGGGCAAGTACGTGTTCAATGTTAAAATCAAAAGGATATCTACATAAAATGTCATCAACGTTCATACTTCGATCTTATATCCGTGATCTGATTCAAAAGAAGTGGGACACTCAAGAAGGTAGAAATAAATTACATGAAACTAAACCAACTATTGGCAACACCTACTTGGGTTGTCAGTCCAGATTTGAAGAGGTCATAATACGAGGATGTCGTATTGGAGCAGGTATACAAATGAATATTTATTGAAAGGTGAGGATCCTCCATTTTGTGTCCCTTGTGATGAGAGAATCACAGTCAAGCATGTCCTGCTTGACTGTACTGATTTTGCCATCCCAAGGGATAAATATTTCAAATCGCTATCTATTAAGGATCTTTTTAACAGTATCAATTCTCGTTTAATCATTGGTTTTTAAAGGAAATAGAGTTGTTTGCAAAATTTGATTGTGTCTTGAAAGATATAAATGTTTTATGATTGGTAGATTAAATTAGCAACTGAGATTGTTAGTGGCTGTATCCTCGAGGGAGGTTAAAGTACTGTAAAATTATTGTCCTGAGAGGGTACGTCAGTTCCACTTCTTTCAAGGTAAATTACCATGTTTTTAATCGTAGAATATGTTTCATTTTGAGATGTCAGGCTAACTCTGCCAATAATCGCCAACACCTGAAGGGATGATGTAAATGCTGGGGTTCATGCAGGTAGCAAAGGTACTGTAAGCCCCCATGGCCCCCAGTATGGTGATCTCCCTTTAGTGGCTGGCGATCTATAGCCCGTTTTTATCATATAATTGTTAGGTATAAGTGTTATCCTTTTTTCCATGCTAGTTTTCAAATCATTTTCTGTGATAAGTCTAGTAATTTTGATGTCCTTCGTTGGCAGGTTTTTATATAAGTTTAATTGTATTTATTAGATTTAACCATTGATAGTCACGATATGGCTGAAATATTGCCGATTTGACTTAAAATTTCAACTCACTCACTCACTCAATCATACTTAGGGACCGATATTCTGGGGATGGGTAAGTGTGTGTGGCATGTTGGTGGTGGGGAAGTCGATCCCTTATTACATCAATGCTACTTTGTTCATGAGATGAAGGTATTTTCTCACCTGTCTTGGATAAGAGAAACCATGGTCGAGTTATCTCTCTTGTTGTCAGGACTAACGTGACAGTTGTCGACCAGCAGTTTAACACCTGCAGTACCTTTAGTTTGTATTTGAACGTAAACACGGGCCCCCACGTTTACAGTCAGGCGGTCCCCTGTCATCTGATTGGTGAAACTGCTATCTGTGAATAATCTGATCTCCGCTTGATGACCGCTGACCTTGCTTGAAGACTGGACATGGATGGCGTTGCTGACGTCAACTGGAGCAATAGCTACGAAGTCCACCTCGTGTCGAGGACGAAGACACTGGATATCGTAGCGCCACAGGACTCCGTCAGCGAGGTGTGTTACAGGATCGACGTGGTACTCAACAAGATAGTTCGTGAAAATGTAATCGGTGTCATTTTCCTGTGACAAAAATACCAAACAACTATAATCCAGGAATATGGGTGACACAAACTGTGTCCTCCATGAATCAATAGGCGATGCTATTATCTATAATAGATATAGACTGATGTATAGTTAGTGTTCTCTGATCAATTAGTTTTCTCTGTAAATTGTAAAGACTAAATTAAAAAAAGGGTGTATACTATTCCCCACATGAACACCCGTAACACACCTGTACTACTGATTTTAAAAAATGACACAATGAATAATATACCTCCATTGTAATCATTTCAAGTAATAAATCAACAAAACTACCCGTATATTATCCCCTAAACATAAAGACATACACGACACTACCCCACAGAAAACATTCACAATATACCCCTATATTTGTTTTTAAAAATTAATTATTTAATACATAGCATTGTGTTCATAGTCATCCTATGATAAGAGGCATCAAATTACATGGTAAATATGAGAAAATATTAACGGCGTGTAACATTACAGTAACATCATATTCCGATGTACGTTTTATGTACTGCTGCCTGGTTTTCGCCATTCAACTCCACTTCTTAGTAAAAGAAATTATTGTTCGCTTTCTTCTTGCAAGGAACGACCCGACATTGTAAATGTCTTTCAGTATATTTCTATATGATTTAAAACGTGGTCTTATTCCTTTAATATGTGTAAATGCGTCTTTTTGCTTATATCAATAACTGATTAAACAAGCAGTTGTTTCTACCTCCAAAATAGATATGTTGTTTTGTAATAATAACATGTTCGAAAATAACATTTTAAAAAACATTAAAAGTTCTAAAAGCATTAAATCCCAGAACTCTTTAACATAAGAAGATACTAAATATATGTGAGCAATGTTTTTATCGTCTGAATTGCAAAATGAACATAAGTTTCTGTCCATCAAGTTCAACTTTAACACTCCTTTTTTAGTGAATATAATTTTGTGTAGGAATTTGAAAGAAAAATAGTATCTTTTGTTGATTTTCTATATTGTAAAAATGCATATTTCCAATAAACTTGATTGTTAAATCAATAACAAATTTCTGGAAGATTAGATAATGAAACAAGGTTATCATAAAATATCGTTGAACCTTTGCTTGTCTTTGAATAAATCATACCACGGAGGAAAAATGTTTAATTGCATTGTGTTCATATTTTTAGCAATATGTTTCCATGGCCTAGTGATGTTTAAGAGCAAACGGTTCTTGTCTAGTAAAGTTCCTTTTATGCCACACATTACTTTCAGCTCAGATATGGCATAAAGCCTTTAGAGGCACATAAATCTTTTGCATGGCAAATACCCCTTGTATACCAGTTACAAATAATAAAATCCGGAAAGTTACATTTATGATTGTACCACAATGGTTCCATTAAACTGGTCGTTATGTTTATTACGTAGGTTTTTATTAATGTGATCAAATAGTCTAATGTGTCTTTCCAAAATGGGTTGGTGATATGGATTTTTTTGGAATATTAACGCCCAAACGGAAAATATTTTTTAAGGGAAAGCCAGGAAGATGGTAACCTTTTGGTTTAAAGACATATCGTCTTTATATTTTCTAACTAGGTATATTCTTTTTCTTTTGTTTTTCTTTCGTTTTCCTATAAAGCTAAAATTTTCATTACAGTTACTTTCCCTATTAATGCCACTGCTTACTGCTTCATTGGAGACGGTGCTGAGCCGTCTAGAAAGAGTTCGGTGTCATCTGCGTATTGACCTATTCCGCGCTCACTTTCTCCAAGAACTATACATTTTATATTTGTAATATATCTTGTCATTATCCCAAGGATTTCTGCAACAAAATGAAACAAATATGGGGAAATCGGATCCCCTTGTCTACATCCTCCCTCGTCGAAAAATGATGACGTTTTGTATGACACAAGAGGTATAGTTTGAGATACCTGTACATTACTCCCAACACAAACATCAACATCATACCTGTACATTACTCCCCACACAAACATCCACATCATACCTGGAAAGTACTCCCCACACAAACATCCACATCATACCTGTAAAGTACTCCCCACACAAACATCCACATCATACCTGTAAAGTACTCCCCACACAAACATCCACATCATACCTGTAAAGTACTCCCCACACAAACTTCCAGATCATACCTGTAAAGTACTCCCCACACGAACATCCACATCATACCTGTATATTACTCCCAACACAAACATCCACATCATACCTGTAAAGTACTCCCCACACAAACATCCACATCATACCTGTATATTACTCCCCACACGAACATCCACATCACACCTGTATATTTCTCCCCACACGAACATCCACATCATACCTGTATATTCCTCCCAACACAAACATCCACATCATACCTGTACATTACTCCCCACACAAACATCCACATCATACCTGTACATTACTCCCCACACAAACATCCACATCATACCTGTACATTACTCCCCACACAAACATCCACATCATACCTGTACATTACTCCCCACACAAACATCAACATCATACCTGTATATTCCTCCCCACACAAACATCCACATCATACCTGTACATTACTCCCAACACAAACATCCACATCATACCTGTATATTACTCCCCACACAAACATCCACATCATACCTGTATATTACTCCCCACACAAACATCCACATCATACCTGTAAAGTACTCCCCACACAAACATCCACATCATACCTGTAAAGTACTCTCCACACAAACATCCACATCATACCTGTAAATTACTCCCCACACAAACATCCACATCATACCTGTAAAGTACTCCCCACACAAACATCCACATCATACCTGTACATTACTCCCAACACAAACATCCACATCATACCTGTAAAGTACTCCCCACACAAACATCCACATAATACCTGTATATTACTCCCCACACAAACATCCACATCATACCTGTATATTACTCCCCACACAAACATCCACATCATACATGTATAGTACTCCCCACACGAACATCCACATCATACCTGTACATTACTCCCCACACAAACATCCACATCATACCTGTATAGTACTCCCCACACAAACATCCACATCATACCTGTACATTACTCCCCACACGAACATCCACATCATACCTGTACATTACTCCCCACACAAACATCCACATCATACCTGTATATTACTCCCCACACAAACATCCACATCATACCTGTAAAGTACTCCCAACACAAACATCCACATCATACCTGTAAAGTACTCTCCACACAAACATCCACATCATACCTGTAAATTACTCCCCACACAAACATCCACATCATACCTGTACATTACTCCCCACACAAACATCCACATCATACCTGTATATTACTCCCCACACAAACATCCACATCATACCTGTAAAGTACTCCCCACACAAACATCCACATCATACCTGTACATTACTCCCAACACAAACATCCACATCATACCTGTAAAGTACTCCCCACACAAACATCCACATAATACCTGTATATTACTCCCCACACAAACATCCACATCATACCTGTATATTACTCCCCACACAAACATCCACATCATACATGTATAGTACTCCCCACACGAACATCCACATCATACCTGTACATTACTCCCCACACAAACATCCACATCATACCTGTATAGTACTCCCCACACAAACATCCACATCATACCTGTATATTACTCCCCACACAAACATCCACATCATACCTGTATATTACTCCCAACACAAACATCCACATCATACCTGTATATTACTCCCAACACAAACATCCACATCATACCTGTACATTACTCCCCACACGAACATCCACATCACACCTGTATATTACTCCCCACACGAACATCCACATCATACCTGTATATTCCTCCCAACACAAACATCCACATCATACCTGTACATTACTCCCCACACAAACATCCACATCATACCTGTACATTACTCCCCACACAAACATCCACATCATACCTGTACATTACTCCCAACACAAACATCCACATCATACCTGTATAGTACTCCCCACACAAACATCCACATCATACCTGTATATTCCTCCCCACACAAACATCCACATCATACCTGTATATTACTCCCAACACAAACATCCACATCATACATGTATAGTACTCCCCACACGAACATCCACATCATACCTGTACATTACTCCCCACACAAACATCCACATCATACCTGTATATACTCCCCACACAAACATCCACATCATACCTGTAAAGTACTCCCCACACAAACATCCACATCATACCTGTAAAGTACTCTCCACACAAACATCCACATCATACCTGCATATTACTCCCCACACAAACATCCACATCATACCTGTAAAGTACTCCCCACACAAACATCCACATCATACCTGTACATTACTCCCAACACAAACATCCACATCATACCTGTACATTACTCCCCACACAAACATCCACATCATACCTGTATAGTACTCCCAACACAAACATCCACATCATACCTGTATATTACTCCCAACACAAACATCAACATCATACCTGTAAAGTACTCCCAACACAAACATCCACATCATACCTGTAAAGTACTCCCCACACAAACATCCACATCATACCTGTAAAGTACTCCCCACACAAAAATCCACATCATACCTGTATATTACTCACCACACAAACATCCACATCATACCTGTACATTACTCCCCACACAAACATCAACATCATACCTGTAAAGTACTCCCCACACGAACATCTACATCATACCTGTATATTACTCCCAACACAAACATCCACATCATACCTGTAAAGTACTCCCCACACAAACATCCACATCATACCTGTATATTCCTCCCCACACAAACATCCACATCATACCTGTAAAGTACTCCCCACACAAACATCCACATCATACCTGTAAAGTACTCCCCACACAAACATCCACATCATACCTGTAAAGTACTCCCCACACAAACATCCACATCATACCTGTAAATACTCCCCACACAAACATCCACATCATACCTGTAAAGTACTCCCCACACAAACATCCACATCATACCTGTATATTACTCCCCACACAAACATCCACATCATACCTGTAAAGTACTCCCCACACGAACATCCACATCATACCTGTATATTACTCCCTACACAAACATCCACATCATACCTGTACATTACTCCCCACACGAACATCCACATCATACCTGTACATTACTCCCCACACAAACATCCACATCATACCTGTATATTCCTCCCCCCAACAAACATCCACAACATAGCTCTATAGTACTCCCAACACTAAAGATACCACCTGCATGTTACTCCCAACGCTAACACACTCACCTGCATATGCGTATTACAATCAGTGTAGGTGTAGTTGAACACTAGACTATTGCCACTGGACACACCATGACAGATTTGAGTAGACATATAGATGTTTGAGAACGAGTGTCTGCCAAACTTGTCCACAAATGTGTCCTTGTTCACTTCCACCATCCAGCTGTTAGTCTCACAGACCAAAGTAAACGCATCCAGTAGATCTAGATGAGATACAAGACAGGTCTTTGTTAGTTAAAGGGGTATTAATTATTAAGAATATTGTACACAAATATGTAACAGTTATAATTAAAAAATCGGGGGAAATCGGATCAAGATTTGAAGTAGCGAGGATAATTTAAAATTATATAGTCGGATATGCACCTGTAGCAGCCACAACATAATTTTAGAATAAGTATATCACAAATTGGTTTGCATATCTAAAAACAGAATTTGTACTATCATCATATAGTTTATATATCTTCTTGTTTAATGATATGCGTATTTGAATTTGTGATATCATTTATGACTTCATTCATGAATTCTTAATAAAAAAGTATGTGTTGTCAAGTTCTACTTTGCCATATATGGCGGTTTTGTTTGGCGTTTAACACCACATTCAGTAATATTCCAGCTATATGACAGCCTGCCTGTAGATAATCGAGTTTGGAACAGAAAATCCAATGGAATACTTGCGCATAAGCTACGAGAAAATGAAATGAATTGGTTACAGGATTTATTCACTTACTGTTTTCATTAGAGGTACCAGCTGATATTGGGACAGCAAAATATCCATAGCCTTCAGCTGACCCGAGTCCATACACCTGGACGACGAACCTGCACTCAGGTGTAGTATTCAGATGGTTCAGAGAAGCCGGAGCCAGTAATGTTGTAACCGAATACTGATGACCACGAACAGATATGTTCCGCCAGCCACTGTTAATGCTAATTTGATTTATACAGTTGCTGTCTATTATAATACTCAGGCAACGGACGAAGGCGCCATTATAACCTTGGACATCTGGAATTGTATATGCATGTCCGTATCTATTGATGGGTGGTACTATTGAAGAGAAAACTGTATAAGTTGCATCAGATCCTGCGATTCTTTGTACAATAATAGGCTGTGAACTTGTCAGGACAACCACAGCATCAGGATTATAGTCTGTGACATGTGTCTGTCCAGATTGTAGTGAGAATGAATAACTGCTGTTGCCATCAGTCAGAGTAATGGATGTGTTACTCACTGGCGCAATTATTCGAACCTGATACGAGTCGGTGTGATCAAGTGGAGGAATTACATAATCATTTCCTAGAGAACTTACAGGCGGTACTTGGTCTAATACCTTGTCACCATGGTGTTGAGGATAACCAAGGACACCCGAGCCAGAAAATACCGCCACCGGACTTGTACTTAGGACACGTGTTCCATGGTAATCACAGAGATTGCTTGCATTAGCGTTTGGGAAGGCGGCATCGGGTGCAATGTGAAAGACATCCCGCTTGTTTAACAATACTGAAATGTTGTCTCTATTAGCATATATGTTGTTCTCATAACTGAAGAAACAGTTGGATGAGAAGAGCACTGTCACGGCCGTGTTGTCAGAGGCTGCAGCTATGGACAGAGTCGGGTTAAGAGTCACAGAAGGCACGATGTAATCAGTGGAAAGTGATGACACCGGCATGACACCAAAAGCTTCTGAATAACCACTTTCTGTCTTGAACAATACATACAGTTGAACAAAACCTGTACAACTAATTTCAACTGCACTTTTCTGTTTGATCCCAGCTGTACTAACGTTGTTTGTTTCGGGTAATATATAACGGGACCAGCTATTATCAACCTGTATGGTGCTTGAACTTGTGCCAGATGTCACGTTGCAGCTAGTGCCATTATGATTGGCCGTCACATATAGATACCCTCTTTCCAGTCCTGTTGTAGGATTAGTCTGAACTGGGGTGTAACTCAGCAAAAAGGATGTTCCTTCAAATTGTCCTGAGCCTAAAACGGAACAAAGTAGTCAGTACGTTACATGAAACCATTATATAATGATGCATTAACACATACCGATTCCGTTTGAAACCCGATTGTCTTTTATTTATTTTAAAACACGTGTGGTCTCAAATCATATATTTGTATAGTTTGTTCAAATTTAATATGCATACGGTTCTAGTTCTACAATCACAGGGGGCACGGGTGGCCCAGTCGTCTAAGGCGCCGAGAATTCGGTCTGCAGAGTTGCGTTCCCTGGGCACGCCAGTATGATTGTGGGTTCGAATCCCGGTTTGCCCCGATTATGTTTCTAGGTTTGTCAGCACCATACCCGTGCTCGTGGGTTTCACCGAAGTGGTAAACGTCTGAGACCTGCATCACTTCGGGCTTTCCTCCCACATTAAGCTGACACGCCGTGATATAACTGGAATACTGTTAAAAGCGGCGTTAAACACAACTCACTCACTCTAAGATCACACAATACACAATATTCCCAAATCAACCTTTGGATGACCTCGTTAATACATACACGTCAATAAAACATTAAATATTTAGATTGGTAGAGCGTCCGCCTGGACGGGGTTCGATCCCCGACCGCGTCATACCAAAAGTACTTGTTGTTGCCCTGTCTGGCGCTCGGCATTAAGGGGCTAAAACAAGGACTGATCGGCTCGGAGTCAGTATACTGTGTCTGAGTGGTGTATTCATGTTAAACTGCGGCATGGTATCTCAGTGAGCCAGCACTATCAATCGACATCAGTCCGGACTAGTACAAGCAGCCACACAAACACACACACACACACACACACACGTAGATGCACGTGGCTATATAAGTGCAATAATCTTGGACGCGACGTTAAACCCCATTTCACCTCACCTCACCTTTGAGGTTAGTTCCCAAGTCTCAGTACAGTAGACACTCACCTGATGTTACCCCAAAAGCCCCAAACGTAAGCAAAAGTAAAACCAACATGGCTACGTCCTCTGGCGAGACAGACTTAGTGGCAGCTGTACACCTCCGCACCAAACATTTCTATTTGATTAAAATTCTTATCAGAACACATATGTTATTGTCACATTAGAAAACGAGCATCCAAGCACTTTTAGGTGCAAAGGTGATCACGAATAGCATCGTCAAGATTTCTATATATACACGTGATAAAAAACTGTAAATTGTAACCCACAGTTCGGAAAGCTGTAGAAACTCACTTTTAAAGGATCGTGTACCCACTGCTTGGACTGCAAATACTACCTGCCTTCTTCTCTACAGTGATTTCGCAAACTGTTCATAACCAGTCATTTCTTTTGGCAGAGTGAAAGATCGTGATGTGTATAGTCAGCACGTGAAATATAGCAATAATAAGTCGAATTCTTTGCATTCAACACTGATATGATCAACAGTATGGTAGATAACGGTTCCTGTGCCCCATGCCCGTGATCTTATCTTCTGACTTCACGATTGCCCAAATGGATGAAGCAGTATCGGTGAAAAGGTTATCAGACACTTTTCTAATTCACTTCAATGTATATATTTGAAATTAAATTTCAATATATGTTTGATTTTCACTTATATAACCTATGTTACAATTTGCTTGAGTGAAATTGAGCTGTTCAATGATGCTATTTAACGATATAGTTCCTACTGATAATCTGTAAGACATATCCCCGTGTAAAATATTAATTAGGGCTAAAAACGTACCTAAGTCATGCTCCATTTCAGGGACCAGCCGTTTGATATTCGGGTGTGGGGGCTGGTATTTTGTATCGAGGTTTACTAACGTTTCAACTACAGCAACAAAACCAGAAGTCCAAAATACCATTGCCAAAGCAGCAATCAAACCTGAAAGCATGTCTGTCAATCAAAGCGTCACAATGGGTGTGAACGTGACCATGGTAACACAAATTACTTCATCAGAAATCAGCGGCGCACGTGGTCAGTTTCAAAGATATTTGCGAGTTTTTATGTCTGTGAACGGAGATTTCCTTACACTGATTGTGATCACCCGTGAAAATCCGGGCTAGAATATATCTGCAGCAACCCATGCTTGCCATAAGAGGCGACTAACGGGATCAGATGGTCAGGCATGTTGATACAAGTCATCAGATGCAATTGCGTGGATCGATGCTCAATCACTGTATTTTCTGATTTAGACTCGATTATGTACAGACGGATACAGCTGGATAATGATGATCAGTGCGGCGTTAAACAACAAACACACAAACAATCAAACTAATATTTATGGATAAAGCTGACAGTTTGATGTCTCAAGCAAATATTCGGCTTTATTTTTAGATCTATGCATAAAGATTCAGCGTTTCAAAAAACTATCCCCAAGACATCAGGGATGACTTCATGTCAAGGAAGTAATGGCGTAACAAGGCCACAGACTGGCAAAATGGGATCAAACATGAGTCGTATTGTACATAGATCCTTTATAGTGGACACTGGTAGGCGTCGACCAAGAGTGTGACCGTGGGTCTCGAGTCTCGTGAGTCGACTGTCCACCCTTGGTTCCATAATGTGCCTTCCCTTGGCCTTAGTCCCCTTGGTTAACGCCTGTGGCATCGCCATTTCGGCGACCAAGAAGCTTAACTTCTTCACCTGGAGGAAATATATCAAAGTGGCGCGCACCTGACACAAGCGACAGTAACTTTGGTGCAGAACGGTATTCTGTCCCTCTGAGTAAATTAATGTCTTGAGATTGCTTATTAAGACTTCTTCGACCTACGAACTGAAGATACAGCACATGCTGCACATCTCACGGAATTCCGAGTGTATTTCGGGTGTAGTGCAATACTGTTTTCACTTTTCAGTGTGATATATTTGCCAAGATAGCGGATACTCGTTCAATTTTTCTATGACATGACCTGGCCTAATTAAACTGCAAATGAATATGGCAAGCTTGAACCTCTTTGTGAAAAGAAAACAATCCATGAGATAAATCATCGTCTAATATCAATTCTGTATGTATACATTTGGGAAAAATTAAATACAAGTATTGGAAATGGTGCCAAGGTGATTTTTAAGAAATATAACAAAACAAACACACAGTCAAGCATTCAAAATATTATTCGAACACTGATACTGGCCGGAAACAAATATGAGAAAGAGATACATATGTTATTGCTGTTCTGCTTCTTCAAACAATATGTGATAAAAGATCCATGATTTATAAAATGTTGCTACATTACCATTTGTAAAGGCTATATTCTTCTCAATTTTGTATCTCAGACAAACATCTTTTTGAAATATTGCAAAGCAAAGATTTGGTGTGTTTTTTAATCTACAGAAATATATAAAAGATTTAGCTATTAGAATAAGAAGATCAAAAACTTTGTCAGTAACAATATTTTCTTTAACACCAAATAATCCAAGTTCAGCACTTAATTTCATATGATGTACATGGTTACATTTATTTATCCTATCTAAGAAGGTTTTCCTAAATACTTGTACAAGTTCACATTCCAAAAAAAGGTGTACAATAGTTTCATCATAACATTTGCAAAAAGAACAAAGCGTGGTATCAGAAATATTCATTTTAAACATCAAAGAATTAGTTTCAAGTATGCTATGTATGATTCGATACTGAAACCAACGCAATTTCACCTCTTGTGTTGCTTTAAAAGGCTTAATTGAATATTCCATTCAAATTTCCAAACTGTAACTCACACTTTTCCTGGCCTCTTGTTTATATCAACAAATACAAGAATATTATAAATATATTTAGAGCCTGTACTTTTTAATAGCACAGCGATGTTCTTCTACAGATTCAGTAGGGAGTTTAGTCAAATTCAAACTGGTCAAATATCTCTTAATACCACAAACATTACCATAAAAAGCCAAGAAAGATGATTTTATCTTTTACATGTCTTTGAATTCTTCAAAAATTATGAAGTCATGATTATGATTTACAATGTCTGCTATTTGGGTGATACCTTTATCAACCCAATCTTTCAAGAATATTGGTAATTTATTAACTTTGATGTTGCGATTGAGAAAAATAGGTTCAGCTAAAAAACTACTGAAAGTATCTGGTACAATCTTCTTATCAAAATCTACAAAAGCTTCATAACAGTTTTTCCAAAATATATTATAAAACAAACACAGCTTCTTTTCTATAAAACAAGATCCAAACTCTTCGAGGTCATTAACAAAAGGAAATACAGCCTTGTGGCTGTCTTTCCATTTTTTGGTATCTCCACATAATAATCGCCTTATCCAAGTAATCTTAATAGATTTTGTGTTAAAAAATATATTAATCATACCTAACCCTCCCTGTTCAACAGGTTGACAGACCTTTAGTCGTTTAACTATATAAGTTTTTCCGTTCCACGGAAACTTAAATAGCATGTCATTTAATGTTTTGAGAAATATTTGGGAGGGATCTGGGAATGATGATAACAAATAGGTAAGCTTGGATACAAGTAGAGATTTTATAATTACAATTCTGCAAATTGGTGTAATAATTATTTTCATCCATTTCTGAATTATTACTTTCAATTCATACAAGTTATCTTTAAAATTTAAGTCTGACATTTTTTTCAAATCAACTGAGAATTTAATACCTAAAATTCTAAATACTTCTGGGTTCCAGCTTATTGGACAATTCTCCATGTACTTATCTTTACAACCTCTTTTGGAACCAATCCAAATTGCCTGAGATTTATCATAATTAATTTTCAGACGAGAAATATTTGCAAAATAATTAAGTGTTTCAATACTAGCTTCAAAGGAGAACTGACTACCATCTAAATGTAATTCAGTATCATCAGCATATTGATACATAAAAAAATCTTTGTCTTCAATAAAAATACCTTTGATATTAGCATTAGAGCGAATCAAATTCGTCAATATTTCTGCACATAAAATAAATATTAAGGAGACAGTGGGTCACTCTGTCTGCAACCTCTCTGAATATTAAACCAAGAGGACATGTTACCATTTATAGACATAGCACTCTTAATATACACATAAAAAGTAGAAATATATTTTCTTAAATTATCAATGAAAGACCAAGCAATAGAATCAAAGGCTTTTTCAAAGTCAATCAAAAGAAGTAAGCCAGGTATTTTTTTCTTTTCAGTATACGATAACATATCATATATCAAACGAATGTTATCCCCAATATATCGGCCAGACATAAAGCCAGTTTGGTCTTCATTGATAATAAATGGAAGTTTTGCTTTAATTCTATTTGCAATACATGATGAGGCTAATTTATAAGAAACATTAAGTTATGAAATAGGTCTCCAATTTGTCAAAAAACGTTTTGGTTTGTCACCCTTTGGGAAACAAACAACGACCCCCTGTTTTTGAGTAACTGACAATTCTCCTGTCTTTAAGCCATAATTTAGAGATCTCAATAAAATAATTGTCCTATATCTTTCCGAAAGAACTTGAAGAATACTGAAGGAAATCCATCTGAACCTGGGCTTTTTTATTTGGCATGTTTTTTAATGCTATAGCTAATTCTTCTAAAGTAATCATATTCTCCAAATCTTTATTAGCCAATTTGTCTAAAATTGGTAAAGTATTTTTGTCAAGAATAGAGTCTAGATCAAGATCATGTATGCAATCTTCTCTGCTACTATATAAATTTTCATAAAAGTTTGCAGCTTCCGTAATTATTTCAGTACTATCCCTACTAGTAGAGCCAATTTTTAGTTCCAGATTAGTCATTGATTTGCTTACAAAATTCCTTTTTGTCCAAATTACAAAAATAACTACTAATTTTTTCACCTTCCATTATCCATTTAGTTGTAGATCTAATAGCTATACCTGCCATTTTATGTTTCCTTATATCTTCTAACTCATTTCTTTTTTCCTCTAACAATTCATAGGTAATAGTGTGCGAGTTCTCAACAGATTCAATTTCCTCTAATAAATTCTTTTCTTTTTCAATTCTTTCCTTTTTCTTGAAAGTTGAATAGGAAATTGTTTTACCTCGCAATTCCATTAAAAATGTTGAAAAAGATAATTGATCATTAATGTTAAATTGAAGTAAGTGGTTTTCTATA